TGTTCCTTTGAGAAGCACAGACAAGGATATTTATACAGATGTGTTTTAGATATTTAATTTGATTTGATATATTTACATAAAGCTCATTGTTTTGTGGTAGGATGTGATAGCAGAGGCAACTCAGTCACTTCTATCTACGATGGATTTGAATTCATTGTCGTATTGGAATCCTGTTTTAATAAAATGCAATAAAATCTCTTGGGCTTTTCTCACCCCACCCCATATTTCACAGCTAAAACTTCAGGGCTATAAAATATAACCTGTGATTACATATGAATCTGAAATATGATTTTCTTAGAGACTGGCTTTGGGTTTTTTGGTATAGTTTTAAAATGTATAGGACCAAATCCTGAGAGGGGACCATAAAAAATAAACAGGCAATTATATCACAGAACAAACATTTTACAAAGGGTTCTGGTGATGTTATAAACTATTATGTTAAAACATGAGTATCCAATCTCAAAATGGAATTATAGCACTATCATTTAAAAATTCAAACAGATGCTAGTGGTTGACCAACTCAGTAGGCTGTATTATTCTAGCACTTCTAGTAGTGCTAGACCTGTGGCTTTCATGGTTCTTGCTCTTCCACTGCTCCTATTTTGGTTAACCCTGAAATTTCACAGAGAATTCCTCATTTGTCTCTCTCTCTCCCCCTGAACACCCCGTTTCTGACCCTCTGTTCCACTGCCTATCTGAAAGGATCTTTAGGTTTCAGAGGCTTTTAATATACAGCTGCCAGAGCAGAGTCCTCTGTTGCTTAAAAGCTGGATCTTTCTCTCAGGGCAACTAGTATGACTTCCTCCAGTGCCATAAATGGTCGGATTTTGTAATTCACTGCTATGCTGACTATAATACATTCAACACTACAATCCAAGGGTGTGTGTGTGTGTATATTAAATATATGCAGATATAGTGTATAGTTTTATGTAAATGTTTACGGTCCCAGTATAACTAATTACTGATGCCTTCTGAATTATAACAACAAAAGACATAATTAGAGGAAATAATACAAGCTGGATCCTGCCAACATTTAAGAATGTAACTTTATCAGTGTGTGTAATCCCCTTGATTTAAATAAGACTATCCATGTTAGTTGCGTGCAAAGTAAAGTTGCATGCAAGATCTGGCCTACATCAGTAATGAATAGTTTTAACAGGTATTAAAATATTACTTTAAACTAGAAGCTTCATTTTGGTCACTTATATCAAAAGTTGGTATTTGCAGATGTGCCAGTTTTTGATTTAGTTCACTTTTACTTAGAAAAAATAACTTCTCTGTTTTATGAGGTAAAGTCAACAACAAACTGTGGTTACCAGCAAAGGCTACAGTGGTCTGTGCTAGCCAGCATAGTCAGAGCACTAAGAAAGAGAAATAAAGAATCAGAGCAACAGCAGGAGGTGGGAGAGAAGAAGGGAAAAATATGGCAGAGCAGCAGGAAAGGAGGTGTATTGAGTCAATAGGAAGAGAAGAAGGAGGGTGATATATGGTAACAAATTGCAAAGTGTCCTTTGTTACTATACATCATATGTAAATTAGTAATCCAAAAATTATATTAAGATTCAATTTTTGTGCGAGATCATGGCTATATTAACAAACCACTTGCATTTCACTCAATTTATTGCCTGAGCCACTCGATGAAATTAAGTACATAAAGTTGTTATATTTAGTTCTTGAAGGTAGGATAATTTTCTCTTTATAAGCTGGTAATTTACAAGGTTAAAACTAACTGGAAATAAAATGGAAGATTCCTTCATATATTATCAGGCCAGAAGGAACCATTGTGGTCATCTAGTCCAGTGGTTCTCAAAGCCGGTCTGCCGCTTGTTCAGGGAAAGCCCCTGGTGGGCCGGGTCGATTTGTTTACGATTCAATTTTTGTGCGAGATCATGGCTATATTAACAAACCACTTGCATTTCACTCAATTTATTGCCTGAGCCACTCGATGAAATTAAGTACATAAAGTTGTTATATTTAGTTCTTGAAGGTAGGATAATTTTCTCTTTATAAGCTGGTAATTTACAAGGTTAAAACTAACTGGAAATAAAATGGAAGATTCCTTCATATATTATCAGGCCAGAAGGAACCATTGTGGTCATCTAGTCCAGAGGTTCTCAAAGCCGGTCTGCTGCTTGTTCAGGGAAAGCCCCTGGTGGGCCGGGTCGATTTGTTTACCTGCCACGTCTGCAGGTTTGGCCGATCGCGGCTCCCACTGGCCGCGGTTTGCTGCTCCAGGCCAATGGGGGTTGCAGGAAGGGTGGCCAGCACATCCGTCGGCCCGCACTGCTTCCCGCAGCCCCCATTGGCCTGGAGTGGCGAACTGCAGCCTGGGAGCCACGATCAGCCGAACCTGCAGACGCGGCAGGTAAACAAACTGGCCTGGCCCGCCAGTGGTTTTCCCTGAACAAGAGGCGGACCGGCTTTGAGAATCACTGTTGTAGTCTGACCTCTTGTATGACACTGGTGTTAGTTTTTCCCTGAATGATTCCTATTTGAACTAGAGCATATCTCGTAGAAAAACATCTTGATTGTCAAATGTCCAGTGATGAAAAGTCTAACACAGCCCTTGATAAGATGTTCCAATGGTTAATTATCCTCTTTTAAAATTTGTGCACTATATTTCTAATCTGAAAATGGTCCAATCAAAAAATGTAGCCTATAAAGCAAAAGTTGCAATTAAATTAGATTAAAAAGTGTCTTTCACAGCACTGGAATGATATTTTTCATCTTTATGGTTACAGCCATAAAATATGACTTTTTTTTTTAAAGTGTTAAACTCGGAAGGTTTATGTTTTTTAAGCAATGTTGCTGCCTTATACAGATAGATTAAGATGATCAGAAATGGAAAAACAAGTGACAGTTGTCATCAACATTTTGAAATCTGTGAATTTTTCCAAACTGCTTTAAAATAGATTCCAGTTGAATTTTGATTTGCAGAATTGCCTTTGATATTCCAATTCTGCTACCTACCAAATAGCTTTCATAACGACTTGACATTAAACCTAGAAAGCTTGCATCCTGTTTTCCCTTGTTCACTAACAAACGGAATCATGCAAAAGAATAACATGAAGGAGGACATATGACCTGTTTTTGATAAAAGGCAGTTTTAGCTGTTGGTGTTAGTCTTGTGATATATTTTAAATATAAAACAAAGCATAGAGAAAAACTGAAGGGCTTGTCACCATTGCCATGCAGTTTGAACTATGGGGCTATGAATAGCAATGTGCACCAAAGTGCTGCACTGTAACTCCCCTGTGTGGATGCTGCTGGCACAAACTAAAAGGTTCCTAATTCATATTAATGTAATCCTCTTCAGACAGTATTACATTAAAGTGATCTAGGAACCTTTTCATTCACACCTGCATCATCCACATGAGGGAGTTTGAGTGTAGCACTTTGGTGTACAGTGCTATTCAGGCCACCGTAGTCTGAACTTCAGGGCAGTGTAGAAGTGCCCTGAGAATCTATACATCATATAATAATAAACCCCACAGGCTTTATTTGCAACTTATAATTACCAGTGTACATTTAGATATGGTGAAGTTTACCCAGCTTCTTTAGAGACACAGAAGTTGCTAATGCTGGAGAACTGCTATGGTTATGATGCATCAGACAAGGAAAGAGGACTCCATGCTCCTTGTATGCAATAGAGTTGGGCTCCACGACTGTGTTGTGAAGGGCAGTGGGAGGTGTCGTGTTTTGGTGGCAGGCATAACTAGTGCGTTTGAGATTAAACAGATGTTAGTTCAGGTGCTGAAATAGTAATGACCTGCAAAGTTTAACTTAAATATGCAGATTTTTTTAAACTAGGTTCATTTGAGCTGAGACCTTGAACTTCAACATTCAGCTCAGAATATTTTTACAGATTTGTTTTGAGGTTCTTCAAATACAGCTTATAGGAAAGAAGTTGAAACCATTAACTACAACAACAAACACCGCTCTACTCTGTGATTATGCAGTTATGCACACTGAGTATGTAGTTATAGAGTAAAAACTTCTAAGGGAATACTTTAAAATATGTTTTCTACTCACTTTTACACTGCCATTAATCATTGTTAATCAGCTTCCATACACCTATATTTTGTTGAGCAACCCATTAATATGTTTAAATGCAGTAGATGTATGAAATAAGTTTATTATAATAGGCCTGTAAGTGGACTTCTGACTCTTTGGTCTTCTCGGATACATTCTGTAGCATGCAGTGGTTTTCTATTACACTGTAACATATATACACCAGTTGGTAATAGGTTAAATTTGTAGGAAGGGCAATGTAACACACTCTGGCTGCACAGATACTTATTAATGGCCTGAATCTGCCACCCTGACTTTCAGGGAGTAGTCCCTTACATGTGACTAGTCCCATGGACTTGATTGCAACCACTTGCCTAATAGTAGCAGGGCTCTAATTAAGGGTACTCTTCAAATTTCCTTTCACCTGTTTTTGTGGCTTTTCAATGAACTCTTGCTGCTTTTCTCTGGGGCCCCCTAGTCAAACATGCACATTTACACTCTGTAGTCTGAGCTATGGGAGGAGCTGCCCCTACATGAATACTTCATTTGACTGAGCTGTTCTGTAAAATTAGGGCTGTGAATGAGCTGCAGAATTAGATTAAAGGCACATTTATTTTACTCTGATTTTATTTCCTGACTTTTCAGTGTGGCAGTGTCCTGGTGGCAGAACCACCACTGCTGTACACCCACTTCTGTAATTTGTGTGAACAGACATTTTGGGGCCAGGCATTTTTCCAAAGCTCTTGAGTTAGTGAGCTGTAATTATAGTTAGATGTATATTGTAAATAATTCATGCATGTTCTATATGAACAACATTGGGTTTCTGCCTGGTTTTCTGTAACATAGCAGCGTAATGATTTGTTTGGATTTTGTCTCAGATGATTGATAATGCAAAGTGTTGGCAATGATGTGAATTGCTTTCAGGCTGTCTCGAAAATTGCTGTACTAGCGGTGATTTCTTCTCTTTTTTTTTCTGCATGCTTGTCTAGTCTCGGCAGACACCTGAGGGCGAGTTCCTCCCTCTCGATCAACTTGAACTGGATGTAGGTTTTAGCACAGGGGCAGATCAACTTTTTCTTGTTTCCCCGCTTACAATCTGCCATGTGATTGATGCCAAAAGCCCCTTCTATGACCTCTCTCAGCGAAGCATGCAAACTGAACAGTTTGAGATTGTCGTCATCCTAGAGGGCATTGTGGAAACAACTGGTGAGTTAAAAAAAACAAAACAAAAACAACCACCCAGCAAAAATTATGTTTGTATATAGTTTATAATTGTGTTGCTTTTTCCAAAAGCGAAATAGATTTTTACAATGGCTTTTATTCTGTTGTCGTAGAATGTCATTAATGAATACAAGGTTACTGTACACCTATTTTCATATGAACTACATATTATTTGAGAGATTGTTTTGAAAACTAAAATGTATGTTTTATAAATATGCATCTGCGTGCCCAAGATGGTTGGTAAGCTAATACAATAACAGTAAATATCTGTAGAAATTGATTCAGCTGCTCAGTTGTGCCTGTATCGGGCCTTTTGGAAAGTAGAAAATAAATGACAGATGCATGCAGGTCTGTTCTCTTTGCAGTCTTTACTGTAGAATAATGTATTTTATGTTTGCTGCAAGGTACATGCATGATTGTGTTGGAGTTACTAGTGGACAGACTCACCAGTATGCTTGCATGCATGCTGATAAGCATGGCTTCAATGGGAGAATATTTAGAGATAATACATTTAGGAAAATATTCTATTTACTATTTTTTCAGTTCATATTTTTGTTTTTAAATATTTTTGAACTACCCAAATGTAATAGGGGGGAAATATTTAAAATAAAGAGAAACTTTTGATATTAGATTCCTTCTAAAGGGGAAAAGTACACTGTGTGCATAAACAAGGGAGTATATTTTATGAAGAATTTATGCCACTAACTGTATTTTTAATCCAAACATACTGTTCTAATCCTGAACATTGTCAGCAGTAATGTAATTTGAATACACCACCTTTGGGTCCAAAAAATACCAGTTTTTTGAGGATGGAATATTGAATAATATAGGGCCATGAGCATTTGGACAAGAGTCAACGTGCACAGAGGTTGTGGCAGGATAGAAGCCAGAGGGACTAAGCTCGCAGTCCTTGAATAAATTCAGTTCAGCTTTCACTGAAGTCAGTGAGAGCAGAATTAGGTTCTCTATCCTTATTCAACTAAAACTCCTGCTAACATTAGTGAGTGTTTTGCTTGTGTAAAATCTTAAGAACTGAGACTCAGAATGTTTATATAAACAGAACTACTATGCATATGCTATTTATTAGAGATTGGTGATATTGGGAAAAGAATTCTGCAAATAATAATTAGAAATTTTAAACTTGCTTAGACTGTGTTTTCACCCCCTTTTTAATTCACTTTTTGTAAATATTCTAGTCTTAAGATGGTCTTCATGTTATCAAAATCAGCTGCTGGGAGTAGGATCTTATTCTGCAAACCCTAACTCACATGAATTTTTAGATCAGGAGCTAGATGTATAGAAGTAGACAAAAGTGTGATAAACGAAGTGAAAAATAATATATGGATAAAGCATGAAAAAAATGAAAGCGCTTAGAGTACAATAGAGAGAATGTGAACAGAAGATAGAAGAGGAGAAGCTCAGAGAGAAAGCAACCCAATTCTTGAATTAACTGGTGAGAGATGAAGCAGAATTAAACGATTAGAGTCTGAGAATGTAGAAGAAACAGTGGAGTGCAGCAGGGAAAGCAAGCTTTGAGAAATTAAATGGGAAAAGGATGGTACTGTAAGAGGACTAAGAAAGAAGAAGGTGGGGGCCTGATTTCATACAAAATACATTTGGCATCTGCACTGTGAACAGTTTTTACCATGAATCTGATCTAGAGAGAAGAAAAATACAAGTGATACAAATAAAAAACTGAAATAAAAAGGCAGTCTAGTCTAGTTTCTGGTGCCAAACATATTACTTGTAGGGATTTACCACATGTTTCTGGATTGAACAATAAACTGAATCTAGTGGAAATAAAGTGAAAATTAGAAAGTTTCTCTATTACCTTTTACATTTAAAAAAAAATCCTTCTCCAGTTTTTTCCTTCCTTTCCTTCCTACCATCTCTTCCCAAAATATACTGCAATTTAAAATGAAAACTTGTTTAAATTTTATCAACTGCCATGTCACCTTCTTTTTAAACATACCAGTTCTGATCTTCTCTAAGGACCAGATTGTCATCTACCTGGGAAAAGCTCAGAGTTCCCACTCAGACTGTTCTGATTTTTTGGGGGGGATGGGAGGCAGGATTTGCCCACACACAGACCTTGAAGAAGGCTTACCCCCATAAATCTCTGGAAACCCCATGGATCTCAGGATACCTGGCAGAAGCCAGGGCTGTGCACATGGACATCCTGTCCTATGCACTAGTTCCTAGGCTCACTTGTCTTGTGATTGCTCCTGAATCTTTCCTTGGGAGATCAGTTCTTATAGTGGAAGGTGCTACCTGTGTAGGGTAACACTAACTCATCCACTATTATTTTGCCTGGGTTTCTGGGCTGATGATGCTGTGGAGAAGTGGTCACCCTCTGACCACATGGTTTTCACACAGAGAGGCTTCTGTGATCTCTGAGACCAGCAAACACCACTTAGCTTCTTTCACATCATTTGGGTTCCCCCCACAACGCATAGCCTTAAATACTGCACGCTGACGTTTTTATTTATTGGATCCATTTACTGGCCTTTTTTAATGGTGTGTTCATTGTAAGTTTAACTGAGATCCTTGGATCACTTTTCACCACTGTGAGCTCTTCCTCGCACTAAGGAAGTTTCTGATGTAATATTTTCAATAAGGGGAGTAGATTTGGCAACAGACCCTACCGCCTTCATATGGTAAATTGAGGCTAATGAGGAACTCCCTTTCTGCTTTGATTTGGGGACAGCATCAGCCCACACATTTGGCCTTAAAAGCATAGCTTTAAGGGAGAGGATCCTCTTTTGAAAATATAATAATAATGTTGCTATGACTTGTATTCATATAGATGTCACTTCTGCAGTGTCATCTAATGGTCACAGTTGAATCATAACAAAGACGCAGAAACTGTAGTATCCAAACTCCTTTGGAAGAGTGACTGTATTTCCTCAACACAAAAATGTTCCACAGCAGTTCCAGGGAAACAAAATGGGTTAGGACAAAAGTGGACCGATTTCTCTGTCTGCACTAGCAATATGTGCTTTCATAGGCTTCCCAGCAGATATGGTCTGAAGCAGGAATTTTTCCTCCAAATTTGGACAGCAGGTGCAGCTTGATGTATGTTTACTATAATGAGTGTATCTTAAATAGAAGAGTATCTCTGTTATTCCAGTGGTATTCCAAACTAATATGATGTAAATTATGATGACTAAGTGCCCTGCTTCCCACCTTCCATTATTGTGAGAAGTTGGGATATCTCCTTGAAGAACCAGGTAAGGGTTATATAAAAACTACTCTTTTTAATTTTAAAGTTCAGTAGAGAAACAAGTGGCCAAAAACAAACCAATCATCCCTGCCTCCCGATTTCAACCCTACAAAATATTCCTTCTATCTACTTTAAAAGTGATCTGCTAATCTACAGCTCAAACAAGCATTAAGATTCCTGGCATCACTGAAATCAATGACAAAATTCCCATTGACTTCAATAGGGCAGTATTTCAGCTCAGTCATAACCTACTGCTACAGCTAGGTTTCTGCTTGCTCCTTTATTTTTAACAGTTGCTTAAGCGCTTCCCTTAGCTGTTCAACTCAACCCTCTTGATGATGCTGATCTTTAGAGTTGCTGAACAAAGGGCATTGCATCTGTATAGCATCTACCATGATCAGTCCATACAGAAGAGAGGAACAACAATTCCCATCTAGAAGGATTAAAATCTTCCTGCCAAACAACCCCTAGAACCAGGAAAAACTACCAACAACATCACTGTATATTACAAACATTCCTATAGTAAAATTATAATCTGGAATATATTCTGTATATTCTGAATCACAATTGCAACAAAATGCTACCCAGTTACTAACATACGTCTCCCCAGAGGCCACGTCTAAAGTCAACGTTCACGTTACTCACCCAGCTTTTAGGTGTGCCTGTATCACATGGAGCCCCAACGTGCAAGTAGGACACCAAAGGAAAATAGCAGTTTCCTGTGTCACTGCCTACTTTGTTAGTAATGGTTTCATGGTAGGAAGAGGAGGATGTACTTCTGTATAGGTTGGCGTTGACCCATGTAGCAGTGAATGTATGAGGTGGCCTTGGAGAAATGCCATTCCCACTAACACACACGCTTGCTAAAATTTGCTGAATGTAATGTAACAGCAGAAAGGAGGAAAAAGGTGAAAGGCAGCGGCTCTACTGCCAGCTACATTAGTGGCTATAATACCACTAGTAATGCAAGAGGACATACCTGCAGGTGGATGGGGGCTGTGAAGAAACAGCCTGCCACTTTTCCTTCACAGGACTCAGCCTGGCTAGAGCTTTTTCTGCTGTGGGTTTTGGGCCGCTTTCCTTGCCAGCAGTGTATCATCTGGGGGTTTATTCTAATTACTTCTTCTCTCATGTAGTGTAGGACCAGTGCCTTCAGGCAAGAAATGGCCTTCTGGCAGACAACACTCTTGGGTGAACTGGTCCCTAAATCTCAGCCTAATATACTCACCTAGAACAAAATGACATTTTGTGCCTTGCTGAACAATGATCACCCTAAGGGAGTGTAGGAAGACACACAGTGCTAGTGTAAGTAGGTATACTGGAATGTCTGAGATGATTCCCTTTATGGTCCCTGTTTAAACATTGCTGTTCTTGATGCCTTCTGTAGGATCAACAGGCATGGACTTCACTCCTCCTTCCATGAAATTATCTCTGAGTGACATGCAGGTTCCCAAAACATGGTTCCATTGAACCCCTCTCAAACTTTCAGAACCTTCCCTCAATTTAAAGCCCACCAGACTTCTTGACCTGTATCTTGGTGGGTTGTCCTTAATACTATCATCTGTGCTTTCATAGAAGTCCTTACTTGATTGGTGTCAGGGTTCCTTCCCCACTCTGAACTCTAGGGTACGGATGCGGGGACCTGCATGAAAGACCCCCTAAGCTTATTTCTACTAGCTTAGGTTAAAAACTTCCCCAAGGCACAAAGTTCTTTGTCCTTGGATGGTATGCTGCCACCACCAAGTGATTTAAACAAACCTTCAGGGAGGGCCACTTGGAGCCCTATCTCCCCCAAAATAATCCCCCCAAGCCCTTCACCCCCTTTCCTGGGGAAGGCTTGAGAATAATCTACCAACCAGATAGGTAAACAAGGTGAGCACAGACCCAACCCCTTGGGTCTATAGGACACTGAAAAATCAATCAGGTTCTTAAAAGAAAAATTTTATTTAAAGAAAAGATGAAAGAATCACCTCTGTAAAATCAGGATGGAAGATAACTTTACAGGGTAACAAAAGATTCACAAACACAGAGGAGATCCC